AAAATCTCTTAGAAAAACATTTTAACTCTAGACTAATGAGCATTGTTTGCGACAACAGTCTAATGATGTTTTTGCAACTCCAAAAATATTAAAATATTTTCTTAGAAAAACATTTTAACTCTAGACTAATGAGCATTGTTTGCGACAACAGTCTAATGATGTTTTTGCAACTCCAAAAATATTAAAATATTTTTATATGGTCCATTTATTATTTTTTAATTTATCAAAAATAAACAAGTGTTTTCCTATATTAATTATATTGTAAAATAATTAAAATATCCTTATATGCAAAAAAAAAATTAAGCATGATGTAAAGAGGTATTTTTATATTTTCAAAATGGCTTTTTCATAATTATAATTTAAGTTGAGGAGATTTGGTATTTAACCAAACATAAAAAATAATAAGTAATTAAATTCACAATGAAACAACCAGAATATACTTAAAATAAAGAAAAAAAATTAAACATAGAGGCAAGGGACATTCTAGTATTTTCATAATTTTTTTTTATAATTATCAAGTTAACTCAAGGGTAATATTATATTTGGCTAAATAAAAAAAAAAAAAAAGATGGGCACGCCTGTACAAGTCTCAGGGATGTGTAGAAGGCACTTACATCTTTTGGTCAATACATATAGTGCTTTTTGACGTCCAAAAATACCTTTTTATCATGTTGTTGGAAGTGTTGATATGTCCTCTTTTTATTGATGCAGCGCATATCTTTAGTAGTAACCTAATTTGTTGTGATATACCTTTATTTTTCTTCTCCCTAAAAAATTACAAATTGACCCTATTTATTATTGATATTTCAATTTTAGCCCTCATTCATTTTATTTTTAATTTTTTAATTTTAGATCTTTTTAGAAATTTTCTTTATTTTTAATTTTATTATTCAATTTTAATTTACCAAATATTATATTCTCCAATCTAGTTCTCATTCTTTTGATTTTTATTTTTTTCCCTGGTTTTTTTTTCTAAAAGTTTTATTGGTTTTTAATTTCAACGTTTAATTTAAATTGATGATATTATATTTTTTAATTTATTACCTTTTTTATTTCAAACTGTTTTCTTGACCATTTTGTAAAAATTATTATTCTTTCAATTTCACCTTTTAATCAAAATAATGTTTTTATTTTTTATATTAATTTTGATCTTCATTCTTTTTGGTCTATTTGCTAAATTGATTTTTCTTTTCAATTCCATCATTCAATCAAATAATTTTTTTCAATTTTGATTCTTATTTTTTTAATTGCTATATTTTTTAAAAAAATCTTTTTGTATATTTTTTTTAATTTCATCATTTATTATTTGATTAATTGGAAAATAAACTCATGGTTTTTTTCAGATCGGGTCTAAAAATATAGGTCACAAGTTTGAAAAGTTAACATAATTTTTTTTTTATAAAAAAATTCTTTATAATCCTGTTTATTTTTTATTGAGGTTTCGGAATCTTATGATTTAGGTCATGGGTTTGGCGCAATATTATGGGTTGGCTAAACTTTAATTATCCAGGTTAGAGGTTTGTCATGCCAACTTTAGTTAACCAAGATTGATTTTTTCATGTTTTTCTTTTTACCCCATTTCATTCTTCTATATTTAATGGGTTGTATCAATTTAATGTCATTTCTTTTTCTTTTTTTTTTCCATCTAATTGAATTAAAGTCAGTTTACTCAACACAATCAGATTTATGACGCAAGTAACATATGTTTTTCTTTTATAAAACACGTGTAAGGCCCGGTCCACTCTCCTTTGCAGAATATTATTCGCTATGGCTCAGCCCAACCTGGCTTTCACACCTCATGGTTTTGTTCTTGGCAGCCCATAGGCTCAAAACATGTCCTTTAGAGTAGCGCAACTCACTTACCCTGTCAGATATTGTTCCCGTTGGGCCTTCGAGTCCACCCACTCTTAGGGCTTCCGTCCAAGTCCCCTTTAGGGTTTTAAATGTGTCTTACAAGGTTAGGTAACAACTGTCTTAATATACCATATCTCTAGACACTTTTTTTTATATGAAATGTTACAATCCCCTCACCTTAAGAACGTGTCATCCTTGACTCTAATACCATATGTAAGGCCCGACTCGCTCCCCTTGCAAAATATTGTTCGCTGTGGCTCAGCCCAACCTAACTTTCATGTCTCACGATTTTGTTTTTGGCAGCCCACAGGCTTAAAACATGTCCTTTTGTCAGATATTATCCCTTTTGGGCCTCGCAGTCCGCCCATTCTCAGAGCTTTCACCCAGGTCCCCTTTAGGGTTTCAAAAGTGTCTTATAAGGTTAGATACCAACTGTTTTAATATGGTTTGGCTTTAGACACGTTTCTTTCTATGTGAGATGTTACAACACACTTGTAGCAGATGAACATTATTTTTTATGTAAAAAAAATAATACAGCCCCGCAGTGAAGCGTTGGCACTGTGAAGAGACTTGTTGATAAGAAAAGAGAGGGTTTATGGTATAGTGTCGGTGATCGACTATAAAGATGGAAGGAGTTGTTGCATTTTTTTCAAGCTATCTATGAGGACGACAAGATTGTGGTAGTTTATGGATGGATTATTGGTGTTATTATGGTAGAAAAATGGCAGGAGATAAGCTCAAAAAGGTGAGCTATCAATGAGAAGTTGAAGAGCGATGATAGGGAAGGACTAATAGAAGTTGAAGAGAGATGACAGGGAAGGAGTTTTTTTTATTTACCAATGTTTTTTTAGGAGAGAGAAGCTTTTTTCCTTTCCCTTTCAATTTATTCAATCTTCTCTTCTATTTTTTAGGAATCTCTTAGTGTCTCACTAGTATATTAGCTCGCATTTCACAGCGAATCGATATTATATTTTTATAATGTCAAAAAAATATTAAGAGTATAAAAAATATTTTAATCTTTTTAGGCCTGACAACCATGCCAAACCCAAGCGCTATGGGTCTGGCAACAATGCCAAGCAGACCCAAGCGACTTGGATATAATTGTCATGCTTAATTAATTTTTTTTATAAATTTGTTTTATTTTTTATGAAAAAAAATTAAACTACTCTTAAGGTGTTCTGAATAGAAATTCTAATTATTTTTTTTTGTATATAAAAAAATTTAAACTATCCTTAAAGTATCCTAAACAAAAATTCTAATTAATTTTTTTTATAAATTGTTTATTTTTTATAAAAAAAATATTTAAACTATTTTTGAAGTATCATAAATAGAAATCTAAATTAATTTTTTTTAATTTTTATAGGCTTTTTAGGTTTAATAGCCAAGCTAGATCCAAGAATCTTTGGTCTAGCAGTTATGTCACACTCAAATGCCCTTGGGTTTGAAAACATGTTAGACCTTATTATTATTTTTTTAATTGTAATAATATATTTTTAAAAATTTTTACTAATAATTATGTAAATAATATAAACAATAATGAAATCATAATAATAATTTTTAATTTTTATTTTTCAAATCAAATTTATTATTTTTTTTTACAATAGTAATAATATTTTTCAAATTTATTAATAATAATGACTATAATAATATTTATAATATTAATAATAATATTAAATATGTTTGACCCAAGTTTTTATGGTTTTTCATTTTACCTTTCAAATAAAATTTATGACTTTTCTTCGATAGTAATAATATTTTTTAAAATAATAATATTAATAATAAATTTTAATTTTACCCTTCAAATCAAATTTATGATTTTTTTTCAAAAGTAATAATGTTTTTCTTCAAATTTAATAATAATAATAATAATAAACATGTCAGACTCAAACTTTTTGGATCTGGTAACCAAGTTACACTCAAGCGTTCTTAAATCTAACAACCATACTAGATCTTATTACTATTTTTTCAATAAGAGTATTTTTTTTTAATTTATTAATAATTATGTAAATAATATTAAAAACAATAACAGAAACAACAATAATAATTTTACCCTTCAAATCAAATCAATTATTTTTTAATAGTAATAATATTTTTTAAAATTTATTAAAAATATATTAATAATATGAAACATGCATGACCTAAGTTCTTATGATTTTTAATTTTAACTTTCAAATCAAATTTATGGTTTTTCTTCAATAACAATAATTTTTTTAAAAAAATTATTAATAATAATAATATATTTTAATTTTACTCTTCAAATTAAATTTATAATTTTTTTAATAGTGATAATATTTTTTAATTTTTTAATAATTATATTATTAATAATAATATTTATAATTTTTATAAGAATATTAAACATGTCATACCCTGGTGGCCTTGGATTTGGAACCATACTAGATCTTATTACTTTTTTTTTCTAATAGTGATAATATTCTTTTTACAAATTTAATAATAATAATAATAATAATATTTTTATTTTATCCTTCAAATTAAATATATTTTTTTCATATTAAATATTCTTTTATTTTTTCTTTTTATCTCACGCAAATTATCAATTCATGATTTTTTTTATTGAACATTTCTTTTTAGATCATGATAATTAAGTTTATGTTTAAAAAACAATGATTCTTGTAAAAAAACAAACAAATATTTTTCATATCAAAAAAGAAATAAATGAACAAGAAAAGGAGTTTTGATTGAAGAGATACAATTTTCCCTCCTCAATTCAACTAAATTCAATTAATTGAGATTTTTATGAATATTATTTAATGAGCTCTAGTTTTTTATTTTTAAAAAAAAACATGTTGCTAATGAAAAATATATGTTTTTGTAAGAATAAAAAAAAATAAAAACTCATCTAATAAAACATATATTTTTAGAACTTAAATCATTATTGATCTTTCTTATAAACATTTATTTTCATTACATCTGAAGTAAATAAAATTAAATCCCGCAACCATTGCGCAAGGCAAATTAATATATATTCTTTCAATTATATCCCTCGAGTCCAAAGAAAGGGAAGAAAAAGCATGAAGCCCTGCCATTCTGCCCCCACGCGTAATTATGAATCTCTCCTTCTCTGGTCGCAATTAAGATAGCCAACGACCTTCTCCACAAACCCTTGAAAGTCAGCCTTGTCATTTACTTTCCAGCAAACACTACTCCTAGTATTTATGTATCGCAAGCTTCTCGCTAGCTATTCCGAGTTGTAGTGAGACAGAAACAGGCAAGCTATCTAGCTAGATAAGGGAGAAAAATATGGCAAACGTGTTGTTCATTTCATGGTTCTTATCGCTGGCTCAATTTTTAACTCTGGTCATAACAATTCAGGCAAAAATTCCGGCTGTTATCGTCTTTGGGGACTCCTCTGTTGATGCTGGAAATAACAATTTCATTCCAACGGTTGCTCGGAGCAATTTTGAGCCCTATGGTCGTGACTTCACTGGGGGTCGTCCTACCGGGAGGTTCTCAAATGGTCGAATCGCCACCGATTTTATCTCTCAGGCTCTAGGACTCAGGTCAGCAGTTCCAGCCTACTTGGATCCAGCATATAACATATCAGATTTTGCTGTTGGAGTTACCTTTGCTTCTGCTGCAACTGGCTACGATAATGAAACTAGTGATTTGCTAGTAAGTGCCAATCAAGTTCCAGTTTTCGTGGCGCGCTCGCGCACAGATATATGTATGTTTGTATGTCTGTATGTATGTATGTATTACTTCGTCATTTATGAACAGTCTATACACATTTGTGCGTAGCTAATTGCACTACACCATGCTACATTTATGGCTAAGTCACAGTTTTTAAGTCGCTGTAGGAGCTTGCGGTCATCATGATTATCCCATGAACACAATTAACTTTATCTGTCATGGCACGATATTGTTTGTCTTGCAGTCTGTGATACCACTGTGGAAGCAAATGTTGTTCTACAAGGACTATCAGATGAAACTGAGGGCCTATCTTGGAGAAATTCGGGCTAATCAAATTATAAACGAGGGTATACACATGATAAGCATAGGAACAAATGACTTCCTGGAGAACTACTATGCCTTTCCCGGCGGCCGCCGATCAAGACAGTACACCATCTCGGAATATGAAAATTTCCTAGCAGGAATTGCCGAAAACTTTGTCAAGGAGCTCTATGGTCTAGGTGCTCGAAAAATATCCCTCGGGGGGCTCCCTCCGATGGGTTGTATGCCATTGGAAAGAAACTCGAATTTAATGGGTGGGCGTGATTGTGTGCAGAGTTATAACACTGTGGCTTTGGAGTTCAATGACAAGTTAAGCAAGCTGGTGACGAGACTAAACAAGGAACTTTCAGGGATCAACTTGGTGTTTTCAAATCCTTACTTCATTTTCATGCAAATCATTAGAAGACCCTCACTGTTTGGTAAGTTGCTGGTGCTCCTTATGCCTTTTCTAACTTCTTGCAGTCATGCATGCATTCATTCTTTTCCCCTTTCAAATATAACTTCTAGAAATTTGACAATAATGATACGTGAGTTTACGTCATAAATAAAGATTACGAAAAGTCGAGTAAAGACTGTTATTTGCAGCTGAAATTTTAATAAACCATTATTTAAAAACTCTTAATATTGTTTTTCAATAATTAATTACTTATATCTTGCAATTAAACTCAGGTTACAATAGAAGGCAAGAATCCTGAAAGGCACGATCATATGATATTTAGAAATGAGAGAGAATGGTAGATCAGGTCATACATTAAATAATGATATGCATTACTGATATAATTATTCTGTTAATTATTTTATTAATCATTCTATTAATAAAAATATTCTATCATTATATTTTTTTAAAAAAAATTCTATAATAATACTTTTATACATATTAAAAAAAATTTTATGCCGGTATATTTATAAGTATTCTTTACTGTTTACTTTTATAATATTGTTTGATTTTTTTTTATTTTATACTTTGTCTTTACAATTTTCTTAATTTATATCAAAAATATATTTTTATCAATGAATATAAAAATGAAAAGTTCTCTTAGCAAAGGTAATCACAATATATCAATAAAAAAAATTATTAGTATTTTTATTTTTATTTATTAATTTTTTTAATAATAAAAAGAAAATTAAAAAAAGTTTAAATCATAAAACAATTGCACATCTTTGTTTGTTTCTGAATTTTAAAATTGCTTTTAAAAAAATTTAAATTTTTTTTATTTTTTTATTAATTTTAAATTAATATATTTTTAATATTTTTAAATTATTTTAATATGTTGATATTAAAAATAATTTTTAAAAAATAAAAATATATTATTAATATATATTTTAGTATAAAATATTATTTAAAAAAAATCACAACAACACTTTTAAATTATCCATTTTGTGATGTATGGGGCCGGCTGCGATGAATCGACACCGGCTCAGGAAGAGAAGCCTGCATGTTCTTTAAAAACTTCTGACTCATTGTACTTTAATTGCTACAGGAAAAAAAGTAATGGCTTTAATTACAATAATAATTTGTAATGACATTAATGTCCCTTTATATATATATATATAATAATTCAGCCGTTGAACAATTAAATATCTTATAATTTAATTGAGAGTTAATTATTATAACATAATTCCTATAATTTGCAGGTTTTGAGGTTACCTCTGTGGCATGCTGTGCAACTGGAATGTATGAGATGGGTTATGCATGCGCTCAAAACAGCCTGCTGACATGCACGGATGCAGATAAATATGTTTTCTGGGATTCTTTCCATCCTACGCAGAAAACAAATCAGATCGTTGCAAACTACGTGATGAAGCGCGTGCTATACAAGTTTATTTGATGGCCTTATGTGGGTGTGCACGGCAGCATTGCCATGCTCGTTTCTTATTCTGTGTGATTAGTTTATTAATGGGTTTATATATATATATATATATATATTCCATTAGGTTCTTAATAATGATGACAAAAATATATGTTCACAGACTGATTTTGTACTCTTTATCTATATCAGGCTTCTCTTTGTACTTTCCTTTTGGTTTTGTCTTGTAATAGCTACGATATTGTCTTTTCACTTATGCCGGCGATGATAGCTGGATTTGGTAATTGGTTTGTTCCGATTCCGAGGCCCCCGCATGGACGTGTTATGCTCACCGGCCATATGAATCAAAGCATTACTATTAGTTTTGACTATGGAGTGTAATACAGTTCAATTATTAATACTAGTATTAATAAATAAGTTTAATTTTTAATAAATTTAATGTGATAAAAAAAAAAAAAAATTAATTACACTTTGATCAATATTTTATATTCACAATTTAGGTTAAGAAATCGATATTATTACATCAAAAATTTATGAAATTAAATTCTCAACTAATTTAATATTAAATAATAATAAAAAATTTAAAAATTATTATAATAAAAATTCAATGCAAAAATAAGAATAATTAAAAGAATTAAAATCAAAACTAATATAAAAATAAAATTAAATAATGTGAGAACTTGGTAAGTTCAGTATTTCCAAGTATCAATCTTCCTCCACTTTTAAGCTCACATATATATATATATATATATATATATATATATAAAAGCATAAATTTGGAATCATGGAATTAGCATACAAGCATAATGGCAACACAGTTGTATTTGCTTTTCAGGTTTTTTCAAAGCAACAAGATAATAAGTGTCTCTGCAACAAGCCTTGTAAGCACAACTAATCTCTATCTCAGCCATGGATACAACTCCATTTCATGGGCCAATTTTGCACTTAATTTAAGGGTTCATATACAATCATGATCAAATCGACTATAGGAGCCACAAAAAAAAAAAAATTGGCCTCAACATGTGGGAGGACCCGTCATGTTCTTGTGGTACGTCAGCTTTCTCAAGCCTGAAAACTAAGTCGTCCATGGTGTTTTCGAAAATGTACCAACATCCTTTTTCATTATAGGTGGTGCATGTCGCCTTTCTTTATATGTGTAGCGTTAATGACTTCTTTTTTTTTCTTTTTTCTTTTTTTATTTCTCTCCTACCTTTGAAATCCACAATTTTTTTTTTCCCTTTGAGGGACTTATTGTTTTCCTATCAATTATAATTCCTTAATTTTTTTAATTTCTTGTAAAATATAAAACATGATTAATTTTTTTACAAAATTAAGCCCGAGATATATGATGACATTTTTTTTCCTATAAGACCAACATCGAGCTCTTATAAATAAATCATACAAAAAATCCCAAATTAATAAAATTATAAAACCAATACCGAGCTTTTATAAATAAACCATAAAAAAAACAATCTCAAATTAATAGAACAAAAATAAAGAAAAACAAATAAAAAATTAACTTGAGGGTAAATGAAAATTTGACTAATAGGTGTGGGCTGACCTAAATTAAAAAGCTTAAACATTTGTTTTTTTTTATTTGTTAATTAGAAGAAGATAACGTGTTATTCATTTTTATTTTTATTTTACTAGATGACGAGTTGTTATACTAGCAGGTGCCTTGTCACCTTTTAGATTATTCAAAATCCAGTTATTACTATGCTGATTGAAAAATCAAAGGTTTAGTTTAAAATTTTATTTTTCACTCATTTTCTCCTAAAAAACATTTTAAACTATTATAAAAACCTTCATAAACCACTTATCAACCTTCAATGCTCCAAAATCACTTAAAAAAATCAAAATCAATCAAAATCAACCATGATCTACTTTTGTCACCATGTTTACAGTAAAAAAATCACTTTTATTGAATTTTTCTTGAGAAATAAAGCTCATTGGCATAACAATTTTATTTTTTTTGATAATTAAATAGTGTTCAAATAATAATTTTCTCTTTTACTTCAATGTTTTCTAATGATTCTCTCTCTTCTTTTTTAAATACAATGACTAAAAATAAACAAAACAAATTTTTAGATCAAAATGAAAATTGAGAAAACAAACATTGAATAAGCATTGTTTCCCTGTTTTATATTATCATCCTCTCACTTTTAATTTTGTTTTTCTACCATAATATAAAACTTTATATATATAATGAAATTTATTTTAAAAAGGACAACAATGAGAAGATGAAGAAGAAAGAGGAGAAGGAGGGGCTTCACTATACCATGCCAACTTAACGAAACCATTCCAGCACATGACTGGGCAGTGGCATGGTGATTGTAAATTCTGCAGCTTCTGAATAATGGAGGAAGGAGCAACACTACAGAAGAGCGGAAATCTGTCATGGAAACTTTTGAGTCAATGTATTTGATACAGCCATGGAAAGTTCAACATATTCATTGTGATCAATAGCTGTTCCTCAACAACCTCTTTCAAGGGTAGCACTTGAGATTTGAAAATTGACAAACATCCTAACAAGAAAAGGACTCACAGACGCATTACTCGGCGACATCAAAATCGTATCCAAGCTAAAATTTCGTTCTCCCCCTTTAAGCATGGTTCAAGTTGGTTATAACTCATCCTTGCTTCCAGCATCTTCTCCCATTAATTCTTCAAGGGAAAACTCATCCTCTTCGATGATCTCTCCATCTTTACCATCCCATGGTTCAGTCTTCACTATCTCTGGATTGCCATTCAAAGGTAAATTTCCCTTCCCACCACGCCCGGCTTCCTTGACAAACTCTCTGGAAAAGCAAATTGCTGGTTTTTAAAGTTTCGTTCATTGACAACAAGGTGCAAAGATGAGTTTAAAATAGCACACTTACATAATATGTTCAAGTTCAAATGCACTTTTAAGTGGGGCATACGCTCCTTTCTTCGCATTCAAGGCTACCAGAGCTGGATATCCATATCCACCAACACCTACCTGATTTTCAAGATCTGGCTGCTTACCAGCAGCTGCCCAGACATAGCTGCAGGCATGAAATGCTAGTCAGCAAAAAAATTCAACATGTTTGGGTTCCATAAACATCATGGTTCCTAAGGTGTACAAACCCTCACATATTCAAGAATAATTTAAATCACAACACGCACACAAGCACCCAGAGAGAAATATAAACTGATTTGTCAGCAACTTACCTGTAAGGGCTCCTTTTAAACTTCTCAGCAACAGATAACAACTGCTCAAGGTACTTGTTCCTTCCTTCTGCCTTGGAGTCCAAAATGTCAGGCAAGAAAGCAATGAAACAGATGGCTGCTGTGCCACACTTCTCTTCCATCACATCCTATACATGAAACAATCATGGTTATAAAAATGCTCTCATGATAAAAGACCCACTGAAATCAAGATAATGCTAGGGATTTCAAAGGCATACTGGGCCGGTCAGCTCAGTCACTTCAGGTGGTGCAACATTCGACTCCAGCTGCTCCAAAGCAAATGATTCAATGGCAGAGGCAGTTCTAGCACCCTCATATGGTATAGGAGTATCTTTATCGGCACCAAACACCAAGATGGTGGGGAATCCTTGTACATTGAACCTGCTCATCAGAGACTGAAAACCCCACCCCAGCACTTCCATGTCATTTAACAAAATTATTTGAAAAGTTTAACTACGGAAAAGAACTGCTTAATTTGAAATGTTATGGAAATAACAAAAGGAGAACTGTGGGTTTTTGATGAATGATGTGTAGATTGTCTGAGATCTGTTGTTTGTGGTGGAACAGCAAACATATTCATCTTTGCATTCTATGAAGTACAAATACATACATATATTGCCCAAAACATTTAACCTTAAAACTAATAGCTTGAATACTTAAAAAAGTTACCTAGCACCACATTACAATTTCTCAGAAAACCATACCCTACTAATCTAAACATAAAAGTACGCTGCCTCAAGGGACAAAAAAGACAGTTAAAACTATTTCCCTGACAAGTGTTTGTACATATTTTACGTGGAAAGCAAGATTTAGTTATGAATAAAAAGAATCTGAAGTTCAATGTTACCTTCTCAGAATCACAGTCAACATGACCCAGCTTCACCTTCCCTTGCAAGTTATTGGCAGCCTTCTTCCACTCAGGAGCCAGTTTCTTGCAGTGACCACACCTTGAAAAGTATAGCAAGGATATGTTTTGTCACCAAATAGCTAATGCAGAGAGGAGCAACATGATGCCTTATTCTCAAACCTAGCTTTCGCAATTCAACTTATAGAGGGCAAGCAACAAGATAATTTTTGAACTTGCTCGTTACGAATACTTCATCATATATCAGATCCACACAACCATTCTATGATCACTAAATAAAGATATTTTCACACAGCAAAAGGGAAAGAAAGATAGCTATGTCAATTTTCTTCCGGTACACTTAGCAGGACTATTTATTTTTCTTCAACAGTGACCTAAGAAGGCTAAAAAGTCAGTATCTCATGAATGCATGCATGCCATGTCTTTGTTTTGCTTAGGATGGTATTTATAGCATATAATCGCTGTCATTTCAGTTCATAAAGGGCTGCGGCTCAAGCAAAATATAGCCACTAATCATTAGCAAGTAAAGATTAACCATAGAAGATCGCACATACCAAGGTGCAAAAAACTCGACAATCCACAGTTCTTTACTTTTGAGTACCAGCTCATCAAAATTGCGGGAATTCAATTCTACAGATAGACTAGTTTCAGATTTCTCACTAGATCCTCCAGTTGACTTTCCATTCAAACGATCCTTTAAAAGTGCTTTTATCTGTACAAGAATGACATTGTTAGGCCAAAACACAGTGGGGGTAGATTCAGATTTTTTCAAACAGAACAAACCTGCTTAAGTGCAAATTCTGCAATGGGTTTCACATCCCTAGCCCCTTGATAATCTATTGGAGGGTTCCCAGGTACAAACACTTTAATGGTCGGAAAACCCCTAATCCCATATTCCTGCATAGCAATCAAACAGTTTTGGTTCCACAAACATAAAGTTGGCATATGAAAAACACTAAAACAGGAAATTTGGATCACTTAGCTAGGATTTATCTCTCTACAAGATTTTGGTGGTTCATATTACAAGAAAAATGACACCTCACAGCAGGCCAAATGGCAAATTTAAGCTTATAAATATATGTTTCAATTTAAAGCTTTTCCAGGAAAGAATAGATATTTATCTAGAGAGCAAATGTAGTGAAAATTACCTCATAG